ACGTGGTCAGTACACACAAACAAAACAGTGAAGAAGGCGCAGCAGCGCCTCTTCTTTCTCAGGAGACTGAAAAGATTCGGCATGAGCCCCCGCATCCTCAGGACCTTCTATCACTGTGCCATTGAGAGCATCCTCACTGGATGCATCACCACCTGGTATGGCAACAGCACCGCCTACAACTGCAAAGCTCTCCAGCGAGTAGTGCGGTGCTCTGAACGGATAATTGGAGGTGAGCTTCCCTCCCTCCAAGACATCTACAGGAAGCGGTGCCTGAGGAAAGCGGGGAGGATCATCAAGGACTCCAGTCACCCCAGCCATAAACTGTTCAGACTACTTCCATCAGGAAGGAGGTTCTGCAGCATCCGGTCCCGTACCAGCAGACTGAGAGACAGCTTCTTCCACCAGGCCATCAGACTGCTGAACACGTCATAGACACCTCACCTTCACTACTGGAACTTCAACATTATGCACTCCATACTGTACAGTAATGCCACTGTTTTGCACATGTCTCAACTCTGTATATTTTTATATATTTTATTTATTGTTTACTCTATTTAATTTGTAAAATATGTGTACACACACACACACACACACACACGTAGAAAAATATTTAGTATACACATCCAGAAATGCATATACTATTATATATTGTACATATATTTATTAGTTTCAGATGTAGCCATTCTTGTATTTTGCTTGTTTACATTATTGTATTTTGCACAACTCTGTTGCTTGTGAAGCTCGCACACAAGAATTTCACTCACATGTGCTGTACCAATGTACCTGCACATGTGATGTGACAATAAAAGTGATTTGATTTGATTTGATTTGATTTGATTTGATTTAAATGTATTGTTGTTAGAAAGTTCCTAAAGTAACTTCTACATGAGTTATTTTGTTGGGGAAAATTATTCATTGTGGTTCTTATGTAAACCAATTATTTATAATTTTGGTGGGAGTGTAAATAACCCTAAATGCTTTTATTTAGTTCCTTGCACCTTATTTTGGCACTCATCGCTGTTTTCTACTACCAGCTTCCTCTTCGGGTTTAAAATAGTGATGTGCGATACCACTGATTTCCTTTCCGATCCGATACCAAGTAAAATTCAGGGTGGTATCGACGATACTGATCCGATACCGATACTCTGTACAAAAGCTTAATATTTCATTGTATTTCATATATAATTGTATTATGTAATTGTAATAATAATATAATAATATAACTTCATAATGATTCAAGGACATCAGACTTACTTGTTCTTATTGCTTAATAATGCAGAATTATCATATACAAATATAAAAAAAACGCTGTGCGCTATTTGAAAACGTTTCCTGCCTGCAGCACTAAAGGACTCCGTGAGAGACGTCTGTCTCGCCCTAGCAGCACCTGTCCCTCTCCTCCTCTTCAGTTCGCCTCAATATAAGCTCATCATATTCTGTGATATGATTTACTCTGAGGTGTTTGACAAGGTTAGTGGTGTTGCCACAGCACCTCACTGTCTTGCCACATGTATCGCAAACCGCTTCTTGGCTGTTTGTGGAGTTAAATACGTCCACACATGACTCCATTTACGCTCAGCCATCGTTGTGAGTGTGCACTAGTGATGTGCGAATCATGAACGAATCGTTCAATACTCGAGAATCACTTTACTGACTCGTGAATCATGATTCACAAGCCCAACTGACTCATTCACTGACTCATCCCTGTTGCTGTTAGCAAACTAATTTCATTAGTAGAAATATATCTAGCTTATAATTAAAATTGTGGGGGGAAAAAACAACAGCCAGTTTCTTAATAAAAACATTTCTGCTCTGGACTGGAAGAAAAAACCCTGAGTAGAAAGCTCACATCAAGACAATAGCTCCTCGGTTCACAGTAGCATCGCTCTGCTAACATGCTAACAGCACATTTGAGTTACTCACCCCTCCCTTCCTGTGCAGATTCGTAGTGTAAGCGAATCACTCCTTCACTCACCCCCTCCTTTCCTGTGCTGAATCGTAGCATAAGCGAATCACTCACTCACTCACCCACTCCCTTCCTAAGCTGAATCTTAGCATAAACGAATCACTGGCCCTTTCTCAATTCTCAAGTAGGCGAGTCCGTACTCGCGTTCTCGGCGACTCCGGACTTGCCGAGAACGCACGGGAGTACAGACTTGCCGAGAACACGAGCACAGATTCACGATTTGTACAATTGGAACACCAGTGTACTTGATGATGTCACAGGTCAAGTGTAAAATCAAATGATCTGTCTCTCAAGAATAATGTTGGATCAGTGTTTCAATATTTATGTCTGTGAAGGTTCTCAGTCATCCAGGTCGTCGTAGTATCAATATTTCAAGTTCTTCAGTTCTTTAGAACTGAAGAACTGAAGAACTTGAAAGAACTTGAAACTGAAGCTTCTCGGATGAGAGGTGAAACGTCTTCAAGCAACTTAAAGAAGTCCAGACGCTATTCTTTGCAAGCTCCTTTGACTTTCAATATTTATATCTTTTATTAGATGTTCATGTGGTTTGGTTATTTGCCTTTTGGTTGAAAGTACACTGAGAGAGGACTTTTTGTTAGTGATCTTTATAGTATTTTTTTCATATTAATGTAATTTTTCATCTAATTGATTCTATTTGTGTATGATTGTCAGTCCAAAGAGGCAGAGAGGAAAGAGGGGAATGTGAGGAGAAAGTACAAGGTCAGGAAGAACCAGGTAAGAAAACAGACAGGGAACAGTGACAGGCAAAACAGAAACTGTTAAACTGACAAAGAGAAAAAACCTGATTTTACTCATACAGTCTGGAAGTTGTGTCCTCCCTATATTAAAGCTGCTATACAGAATCTGCAAAACAAACTGGGTTGAAACGTTTTTGACCCTCTTTAACAACACTCCAACATTACATTATAATTGATTGGGGAGGTTAAAATTAATGATATATCCTTATGTGGTTCAGCCACAACTCTACTAAAACCTCAACCAGTAATAGGTAGGCCAACTTTTGGACCGTCCAGTATTATTATTATTTTTTTTTAATCCCGAAGTCTCATTGTGACATGTAAAGTTTATCTATTTTTCACAGCAGCTACAGCATCCAGAGTCGTTCACAGTGAAGAAGTAAAATTATTAACAAGATAATCGACTTCTGCAGAGAGTATCTCAGGCAGCTGCTCCATGTGGGCAGAAGATAACAATGGATCAATTATATCCTTTTTAACTTTACTACAGCACTTTCAGAAACAACTTCAGTTTCAGGTCCCTCTTCTGTGGAACCAGCTTCCAGTTTGGATTCTGGAGACAGACACTATCTCTACTTTTAAGAATAGGCTTCACACTTTCCTTTTTGCTAAAGCATATAGTTACTGCTGAATCAGGTGACCCTGAATCCATCATTCAAGCTGCTGCACATCTTTTTTTTTTGACTGGTCGTGGTGATCCACCTGGCATTTTTCCTCAATCCAGGCCTGCTGACATCATGTGATGGTGTGAAGCTCAGGCTGTTGTTTGTTGTCATGGAGATTTGTAATCTTTGCAACTTCTTGTCAATTTCACGACTTTTAAAACTGATAAATTCATCCGGTGTGTTGTGTCCTCTTGTGTCTTTTTGTGTTTTGGTGCAGATAAATTTAAAGGTCCGGCTCTGACAGCTCAACGGAAACACTGATGCCAGTGTATATTAAGGTTTTTTTGATGGGTTGTGTTTTGGATTTGATCTTTGGCCCTGAAAGCAGAATCTGCAGGTGAGGTCTCTCAGCTCTGTGAGCCTTTCTTCACTTTTCTTTTTATACTACATTTCCCAGGAAGCACCGCAGCACCATGTCCTCTGAGCAGCCCAGCATCAGAATAATGCCGGAAAATGCGGCAGAGTGGCTCCATGTAAGTAAAACCAAGTCCCTCCTCCTCCCTGACAGGCTGCCATGTAATTGGCTGAGAGCAGCGTGGGCTGTCCCTCCTGGTTCCTGCGGTTTGACCTTTGGCCCACCATCCCAGTATCAATCTGGTTCTCCTGGCTGGTTTGATTCAGTTCTAAGCAGTAATTCCTCATACATACACAGACACATTCTCACACAAACACACTCACATAGGTTCAGGTTACCTACATGATAGTGTCAGAAATTCTGAGTGACTGAAATGTTTTTATTTTAGGGTTTTGTAACAGAGGAACAAATACAGCTCGCATCTGTGGAGCTGGAACAAAAAAGTTACTATTATCATTACCACTGTTATTATATTTTAGTAATACATGTGAATCGTGTAGTTGTGTTAAAATATTGGAAGTGAACTGTTAAACCACAGCTGTAAGTGTACGGCCAGCATGAATGTTTCTGTGATCAAATACTTATAGTAAATAAAATAACATGAATAAAGTTAACAGTCACTGTGGTCCCAGTGTGGACAGGAAGGAGAGATTGTATTTCTTTTATTTTTTCTGATTACTCAAATTCATTGACTTGTATAACTATTTCCTTTTTGTCATAGCACTATACCAAAATAAAAGCTCTGTTACCTTTTAGTTAATCTCATGTTATACTCAGCTCAGGAAATGGAACAATGATCAGATGACTTTTTATTTGTGTTTAAAAGCACAAAGACTTTACAACATGTGAGATTTGGTCTTTGCTCCTGACTGTGACCCACACACCACACGACCAGTGGACTCCTGCTCATAAAGTCAAGTTGAGCTAGTGTGCACTCTGAGCATGTGGACAGATGTACAGGTAACTCAGCGCAGGTAAGTAAAGACCTACGTGAGCATAGCTTCTGTAGACCGAGGTGAGATAAGGAGAAGTGTGCAGCTGTCCACATACCCAGCTCAGTCTGATTGATCAATAAGCGATACCCGTTCAGTCAATAATTAACTCCTGTCAGACACTGTGGCTGCCTCTCTCCCTCCTCACATAGTATTTTTGTCACTGCTGGGCCACAGAGACGGAAACATCTGCTGCAACTTTTTGTCACTGCCTCTGCTCTGCCTCTCAGGTATGAAGCTGCTGCTCTTTCAGCTTCTCTTTGTGCTTGTGCAGCTTTCAGCAGCTTTCTTGAAGTCGCATAGAGTTTCCTGAAGTTTCGGGAATCTTGGAAAACTTCAAGCTGCTGGAGGTGAACGTGGCAGCGCTGCAGAGGAGTGTGTGTTTGTGTGAAGCTGCACAAGTCTCGGTTCAATTCTTCTCTGCAGAGCGTGCTGTAATCATTAACATGTGAGCTTCACTGTGAGGTTAGAAAAGCAGCTGCGAGTGTTGACGGTGAACTTTAAACAACCCTCCAAACCTTTAATGAAGCTTTTTATACTTCATTAAAGTTCAGAAAAAGTAAAGGTTCTTCATTTTGAAGCCAGCACAGATTCAGAGACTGTCACTCTGTGTATCTCTGCTTTTTCAGTCTCTGTTTACTTTGTGCTGATGATGATGAGGATTACAATGAAGGGAAACAGTTAAACACGCTCACAGTTTGTGGGAGAGGGCTGCAGTTATTAACCCTGTCCGCCCCGGAGCTCCTGCCTCTCGTGATATCAGAGCTTTCTCTTGCTTTGGGTCCGTCTGAGGCCCCTGTTGGCATTTTGTTTGACTTTAAGTTTGCTCTTTTCACTCTTGGGTTATTTTGTGTCGTCAGCCTTTCTGAGTGCTATCGTCCTAACAGGAAATAAGAGAACGTTTAATGTTGATGTCATGAGCTCGTGTGTATCGGTTGGGTCACATCCATTCTAAGCTGGATAAACGTTCAGAGAGGATAAAGACATGAAACACTGTAAAAACGTCTGCAGGTCTTTTTTCTCAGGAATGTTTCTGAACTTGTGAATTTTATGCATCGCAGTCACAGCTGATCAAAGTCCCTAAAGTTTGGTTTGCCTATCACCCCTCACATTTCCAGATGTTTCCAGATTTTTCCATCCATTTTATTGATTATCCTCAGTCAGCTGAAGCTCTTTCTCTCTCTTGCTCTCTCTTTTAGTCATGTTGTCCTTGGCCGCCCACTCGCTCTGTGTCAGGGCCACCGGTTACCAACAAAGCCTGCACTCCATAGCAACTGTCATCTCCGGGAACAAAACGTCCAAGTAAGTCTCAACCCACCAGAACGGCTTCTGAGTCAGTTAACTGTCTGACCTTTGACCCCAGCCCTGCGGCTGTGTGTGCAGAATAGTGAGGGAGAGACTGAAGAAGGAGGTGGAGAAGATGGCAAGTCAGTTCTCCGGGTTCAGACCGGGCCTGGTGGTCCTGCAGGTGAGAGACTGAAGCGCCCCCTTCTGGATGGAGCGATACTTCAAACCGATTTTTTTCTAACAACCTCACAGTGACCTGATCAGGTCGTTCTCTGAGCTCCGCCATCATAACTCAGACTAGACTTTACCCGGGGCTGCTCTCTGCAGTTTACCTGTGCACACCTGTTGTCACCTGTCAACAAAAAGCAGCTTTGTTTTAGTGTTTGTGACCAGATGAAACCAGTCAACTGAACTTTGACCTCCACTCCCAGCTCAGGCTGGAGCTCCTGATCCTCTCACACAAACACACAAACATGTGACTGCCTCCCATCTCGTTTCTGTTTACGGCAGAGCAGTGACCAGGTGACGTGTGCACCTCAATGATATAAATGACAGAACATTAGAAACACCTGTGACTGCTGAGTGCGTGGCCATGATTTTCAGTCTGTTTGTGAAAAATGGGACAAACCTCCAAAATCTTACAGCAGTTTAACCCGAGGGGACAAAAACGAGCGACCAAAAATCAAAGAAGTTCTGTCAGTAAAATTAAAAACACGAATGATGTAGAAATAAAAAGCCGCAAATAAGTCGGGAGCAGCTCAGGATCCTCCAGGAGGAAACAAACATGTCAGAGAATGAGAAGGATGCAGGATCCTGCAGGATGGCTATTTTTAACTGTATGTGTGTGTCACAGGTGGGAGACAGAGATGACTCTAACCTGTACATCAGCACCAAACTGAAGGCTGCAGCTGAGGTGACCAACATACACACACTCGTTTTCCTATCTTAGTGAAGGCATCTAATTGACAATATTTTCCTTAGTTGCTTACCCTAACTGTTACGAACCATCTCTGCTAGGGGTTAAGGGAGGTAACATAAATGAGATTCTCACGGGGAAGATCGGAGTCGAAAACGTTTTATTACAAAAAAACTCAGAGAACTGAAAAATAATAGCAGCATTTACTACAAACAAACAAACAACCGATGCAAAAACAACTTCCTCGCTTAAAGCTTCAACCAGTAGAAATCAAAATTAGCCCCATGGGCTGTAGCACAACTAACATTACTCAAGAGAATCTCAGTCGAGACAGGGATTTACAAACAAGGTTATCAGACAGAAGCACGCAGACTGCACACTCAGTTGAAAGCAGCAGACCCAGAATGAATGTTCTTCAGCCTTTTAAAGATGCAAGTGTGCCCAATCAGTCACTGATTGGTCTAGCATCCCTCAGCTGGTCCAATAGACCTTCCCTGGAGGTGCAAGCCACAGGTTCCCAGGCAACCAATTGTCTGAGTGTGTTGTCACACTCAAATTTGCTTGAAGGAAGTCTGGCTCACTTCTTCCAAGGCCACGGGCCGTAACACTAACCTTAACCCTTAGCTTAAACCTCAGCCTCAACCTAACCATAACCTCTGGTCCTTCCGTACACACACATGCACACACACACACACACACACACACAGTGGGCTGATGCAGCTTCACTTTGTTTCCTGCAGGTTGGAATTGAAGCCAAACATATCCGGCTGCCGAACACAACCACGCAGGACGAGGTCTTCATGCATCATCTTCATCGTCATCATCTTTTCTCCGTGACGTGATCGAAGGTCTGATTGGTTCTTGTTTTCTGTCGCCCTGCAGGTGCTGCACAGCATCATGTCTGTGAACGAGAACGCGTGCGTACACGGTCTGATCGTGCAGCTGCCATTGGACTCCGCAAACTGCATTGACACTGAGCTCGTCACCAACGCTGTGTCCTCGCAAAAAGACGTAGATGGGTCAGTGAGCGCATCACTTCCTGTGTTCATCACCAAATACTCATCACTAACACTGTGTGTGTGTGTGTGTGTGTGTGTGTGTGTGTGTGTGTGTGTGTGTGTGTGTGTGTGTGTGTGTGTGCAGGCTGAGCTGCATTAATGCAGGTAAACTGTCTCGAGGAGATCTGAACGACTGCTTCATCCCCTGCACCCCCAACGCCTGCATGGAGCTCATCAGACAGACAGGTAGCAGCACACTGGGAACACTGGGAACATTGGGAATTCTGAGAACATTCAGACTGCTGGGAACACTGAGAACATTTAGAACAGTGGGAACATTGGGAATTCTGAGAACATTCAGAAAACTGGGAACATTGGGAATACTGAGAACATTCAGAACACTGGGAACACTGAGAACATTCAGCACACTAGAAACACTGGGAACATTGGGAATTCTGAGAACATTCAGAAAGCTGGGACTATTGGCAACACCGAGAACATTCAGAACATTGGGAACACTGTGAACATTATGTCATTCGTTGAAAGTGGCGGATGCGTCTCCTGGGGATAAACGGTGGTTAGGTGTAAAGACCTGCTGCAGACACATAATTGTAACCACATGATTGTAAATCTGAAATCATGTGTTTGTTGTTCATCAGACATACAAACATCATCACTGACAGTTCCAGTAAACACCTTTGCCTGTGACTTCCTGTACCTGTGCAGGCGTGTTTGTGGCGGGGAAGCACGCGGTGGTTATTGGTCGCAGTAAAATCGTTGGTGCTCCGATGCACGACCTGCTGCTGTGGAACCACGCCACTGTGACCACCTGCCACTCAAAGACACCTGACCTACCTGAGCAGGTAACAACATGCAGACACGAAATAAATCATGAAATGAATAAAAGCTAACCTAAAAAGCAAAATTAAAAAGTTAAAATTCAAACAAAATCACCTTTAAAATCAAACAGAACAGATTGCCTCCATCATTCAAACACTTCTTGCGTCTGCAGGTGGGCCGGGCTGATATCCTAGTGGTAGGGGCCGGCAGAGCAGAGATGGTGAGAGGAGAGTGGGTGAAGGAGGGTGCCGTGGTCATTGACTGTGGAATTAACCATGTCCCCGGTATCAGCATCCCCTTACGCTTATTGACTTCCTTTTTCCAGCCAGCAGCTTGTTTTTCTTTTCTTTTCTTTTAACCAATCAGAAGCAGGATTGTTTCCACAGGAACCCCAGCTGGGTGGAAACAATCCTGCAAGTGAATCAATCCTAAAATGATCTGCAGTGGAAAATATAAACCAATGACCAAGTTTAGCTCTGAGCTTTAAAACTGTAATTCTTTAAAATGATTCACTCTGTGACCTTTGACCCCTGCTACAGATGAGACAAGGCCCAGCGGTAAGCGAGTGGTTGGAGACGTTCACTACTCCTCCGCCAGTCAGAGAGCAGGATACATCACACCTGTTCCAGGAGGGGTGGGGCCAATGACGGTGGCCATGCTCATGGAGGTATTTATTTTATTTTATTTTATTTATTTATGTTTTTATTTTTGTTTTACTTTTCAGTCTCATCAGATTTTACTCTTTTACTTTTGAGCATTACATACTTTTATTTTTTATCAAATTCAAATGAAATCAAATCATTTTAGATGCATGAATGCATGAATACATTACCACAATTAATTTTAAAGGAAACAAGTCAGATCCAGTTGAAGTGTAGACTTTCAGCTTTAAGTTGGGTTGAACAAAAAGATTGCATAAAAAGGCGATAAATATTTTTTAACACAATTCCTTCATTTCAGGGGCTCAGATGTAATCTGACAAATTAAATAAGTGAAAATAAAATATTCATTTCTAACTTGGTTGAAAACTTATTGCTGGCACTGACAACCTGAAGTCATGGACATCATGAAGTGAAATGCTCGGTTGGGTTAAGATCAGCTAACTGACTTGGTAATTCATGAATATTCCACTTTGCTTTAATAAACTCCTGGATTTTGACTGTATTTTTGGGTTATTGTCCATCTGTATTATGAAACACTGTCCAATCAACTGGACTTCATTTAGCTGGATTTGAGCAGACAGTTTGTCTCTGAACACCTCAGAAATCATTTAGCTGCTTCAGTCCTGTGTCATGTCATCAATAAACACTAGTGTCCCAGTGCCACTGGCAGCCATCACACTGCCTCCATTGTGTTTTAATCAGAATCAGAATAGTTTAATCATCCCTAAGGAAATTATGTGGGTTGCAGCCACTTCAAGACAATAACAGTAACAGGCTGAACTAAATTAAATAATACAATATTTTAGAACAAAATATAAGAAATAGGTCCAATATATACAAATATGACCTTTACAGGAGGAAATTGTGCAAAATGTGTGCATGATGTAGTATGCTTTGGATCATGAGCTGTTCGGCACCGTCTCCCCACCTTTTTCTTAAACTCATCTGTCCAAAGAATGTTTTTCCTGAACTGTGCTGGCTTTTATAGATGTTTTTCAGCAAAGTGCAATTTAACCTTTCTATTCATGAGGCTTACAAGTCGCTTGCACCCTGCACTGAACTCTCTGTATTTACTTTCATGCAGTCTTCTCTTTATGGTAGACTTGGATATCCGTACTTTTACCTCCTGGAGAGTGTTATTCACGTGGTTGGCTGTTGTGAAGGGGTTTCTCTTCAATGATTCTGTAATCATCCACCACTGTTGCCTTCCATAGATGTCCAGGTCTTTTTGCATTGTTCACCAGTGCTTTTTTTCTTTCTCGGCATGTACCAAAACTGTAGATTTTGCCACTCCTAATATTGTATTCTCTAATGTTTTTATTCTGTTTTCACAATTTAAAGATGGCTTGTTTCACGTGTATGGAGAGCTCCTTTGACTGCATGTTTTCTGCTCAAGAAAAATCTTCCAAATGCAAGCACCGCACCTCAAATAAACTCCAGGTCTTTTATCTGCTTAATTGATAATGACATGAAGGAGTTGCCCACACCTTCCCATGAAATAGCCTTTTAGTCAACTGTCCAATTACTTTTTATTTTAAAAACAAGTTGGCACATGTTGAGGAGCTGATACTCCTAAACCCATCATCCAATTTGAATGTGGATACGCTCAAATGAAAGCTGAGGGTATCCACATTATGTCCATGTTCGTCATATAACTATAATTGGAATATGTTTCAGTAAACAGGCAAAAAAAAAAACCTCTTTTTTGTGTCAGTGGCCAAATATATATGGACCTGACTGTATGCTATATGTGCAGAACAAAGTGAAAACAGTAGAAAACATGGAGCCTGATGGTCTAAGATTTAATAGGTACAACAGAAAATTGCCTGCATATCGGCTGATCTAGTTCAGTTGAAAATGTAAGCAGCAACTTGGGAAACAAACACACAAATCTGAGGAGTTTCAGAGGAGACATAGGTCTCCTCTGAAAATGGGGAAATGGGGTGAAAATGGGGGTGGTCTTAAAATCGGAAGATTGGGAGTGTTGGCAGGTCTGACGGTTAATCGGTTCCTATTGTGGTTTTTCTTTAATCGGTTCCTATTGTGGTTTTTCTTTAATCGGTTCCTATTGTGGTTTTTCTTTGTTTCAGAATACGGTGCAGAGTGCTCAGCGCTTCCTCCTGAAGTTGAGGAGGTGAAACATCGACACTGACGGGTAAAACTCGGCTCAAACTTTCAAGTTCCAACCAGGGTTTCCTCTAAATTCATCAGAACTAATTTATTGTCATGATCAGTTTTTGTCACTGAAGGACACTCTGCAACCAAAAAAACTGCACAGGTATAAATGATTAAATGTATTTTTGTTTGGGTTCTTATAACTGACAGTTTCTTCACTTTGTTTGTATCCCTGTAGGCAGACAGCTGTGGACAGGTGAACAGCTCATACACAGAGATGACATCGTCAGAATGAAAGCAGAAACACTTCTTGTTTCAGAGGCTGAACTCGTCCGTATTTTTTCTTTTGTCTTAATTTTTTTCTGTAATTTATTTCCTGATCTGAGAGATTTCTGATGTCTGTCAAAGTTTGACTGTGACTCCAGCAGGACCTCAGAGTTCAGACGCACTGAGCTCGATGAGGCTGTGGATGCTGCGCTTTCCTGCAGTATTAAACCAGGTGTAAGTACATGCCCAGCATTTATTTATTTTCATTCTTTTGTTACTTTGATTTTTAAATAGTAAAAATGTTTTACCTTCTGGTATAAAAAAATCTCTGACAGTAACAGTTTCTGTACTTTCAGTTTAAAAGAAGTGATGGATAAGAACTTCGTGGGGCTTATCCATCACGTGTTCACCTTCAAAATCATCAGCAGCTTTGTTTGCTCAGGGATCAGAGGTTGTTGTCATGGAAACAGCGTCAGCTGCTTCCTGCTGGCAACTGAAGTCAGGCAGACTAACCAGAGATTTATGAAGGATCAATGTATTGGTTATTGGCAGAAAAGATCATATAATATTATTTTATTAGAACATGTGTTTGAGGTTTCATCATGCAAATAACGTGTAAATCTGAAAATTTACTTCTAATTCTACTCTGTCTAAATGAAGTGTTCAATAAAGTTAAGTATTCAAACTCATTTATACATTCTGTTATTTTTATTAGAGACACAAACCTGAAGAACAAAAACATCTGACCGCATATAAAACATGGATGACTGCGAGAAACAATGCACACTAAAATGTTTGTCATCTGTCCCCAAATCTGACGGATATGACCAAAATCTTCAAAATAAACTCCCTGCTTGACTCAGAGCTGAGAGCAGAGACTCAAGCTGTGTCCCAAAACGTAGGCTGCATCCTTCGGAGGCCGCATTTGAAGGCCGATTACGTCACAGCCAGGCGACGAAGGCTGTCCCAATTCGTCGACTCCTTCAAATGTGGCCGACAAATGCGTCCTTCATTTCCCCGAATTTGAAGGACGGGTCGGGTGTGTCCTTTGTGGCCCACCATATATCCCAGAATTCATTGCCCGGCCCAGCCAATTCCAGTTTTCAACAACGGCGGCCGCTACTAAGTTTTAATATTACTCTTATTATTCTTTCTGGGTCACAAAAATAACTTTGAACATATTTTCAGGCAAGAATGTAGTTGAGTAACCTGCTTGGTTTATCAAGACATCACATATTTGCAGAAGTGCTCTGACGTTTTCGGAAATGTCTGTTACCCACCCGCTCAATAGCTAGCCGGGGGGTTCAATCGTCACTCGAACCAGCAAGAGCAGCGGACTCCCAGCTTCATCGTTTTCAGACCCCTGCTGTCTTTCGTTACTCAGGTTAAACATGATATATAAGTCACTCCGATAACTTAAAAATGTAATTGTTTGGCTTTTTTCTGTGTTTTATTTGTTCCGGAGTAAATCGGTTTGGCTGAGATCAAAGTTATTAGATTAGATTAAATAAAACTTTATTAATCCATCGGGTGGGTTCCTCCGGGATTTTCACAAAGCTGAATAAACGTCAAACAGAAAACGGATTACACAGAAGTGTGAGACGGTCGAGAATTTGTATTTTAGATAGCAAGGAGCAGACGGCTGAGTTTATTAAACTCCACCGAGACAGCGGTGACGTAAATCTGAAGGCTAGACTGTCCCATTTCACAGCCTCGCACTTCCGGCCTTCTTGGTCTTCGAAGGACCTGGCCCACATAGACCGCGAAGGCAGGGTCCTCCGAAGGATGCGGCCTACGTTTTGGGACACAGCTCCAGGCAGGCCAATTACGTCACAGCGACGCGATGAAGGGTGTCCCAATTCGAAGTGTACTTCAAATGCGCCCTTCAAATGCGCCCTTCATTTTCCCAAATTTGAAGTGTAGTCTGGCATAGACTTCATGGTCCCATACATCCCACAATTCATAGCGCGGCGGTGAGTGTGGATATTTTGTTCGGAAAAAGATGGCAGATGCCTGAAGCGCAGCGGCCGAAGAGCAATGTTCCCTCTAAGCTGCGCACGTGCGCAATTGCGCACTGCTGGCATGGTCTCTGCGCACAGAAAATCTGCGTTGCGCACAAAAAAAAAATCTAACCCAAATTGAAATTGTTGGGAGATTTTGAGTTTTGTGTTATGTTTATTTGTAGCTTCATTTAAAGGAAGAAGAGCTTATGAGTTGTACAACTGCAGGAAAGGGAAGTGAGACATTGTGTGAGAAAATATGTGCTGTGACAGCAAAACAGCTACCTCCTGTTTCAACAGATAAGCTAACGGTTTTTCCTTTTAAGGAGTTGTTATTGAATTCTATACATGCCACGCCTGTTGTTGTTTGAGTATAAATAAAGGATGTACTGAGAGCCCCGCGCGATTCCTCTGTGACACACACACAGTGCACACGTTGGTGCAGAGATCGTGTCGGGGCATCGCCCATGTACATGTAAAAATCTTTGAGTCTGTGTTTCTTGCCTCCTAAGAGTTTTCTCCTCACAGAAATTACAATTAATACTGTCACAACCCGGCTCAAAGGAAGTGACAAGCAAGTGGGAGACCACACACAGGCTTTTAAACACTGTAAGATATATTTAATGAAAATAAGGTGAAGCAACTTAAACACAATTTAAAGGACAAAACAGCCATAACTGAAGCCTCAAATGAACTTGATGGGTGCCAGACGGAGAGAGTCAAGGTGTCTTTATACATTGGGACTGGCCTTCTCAGGTGTGCTGCATCTATAATTGGGTCAGTTCCACCTACCTGCAAGAAACAGGTAACAGAAAAACCAAAACACAAGGCCAGCCCACTGGCTGTCACAATACTTTAACAATTCTGTTTTGCAGTGTTAGTCAGTAAGTGACTGGCTGCTCCTGTATGGGATTAGAACGATGCCATCTTATCCCATAGTCCAGCCAATAATGTGATTCACATTCATATATACACAGCTAATCAACGTCGTTGGCAGGCTATGACAGCGTCCTTATATGCTGACACCAGTGTTTTAGCTAGCAAAGCGGCGTGGCTGATGTGGAGTGAAGCCACGTTAATGACAACGCGTACAACCATTGGAGATGTGAGCAGGACAGATGGAACAATTGACAGAAAAAATGTGGACTTTGTACCAGTTTTTAAATTGTGTTGATAGGTCACGTAAAACCAGAGTTATGATAAAAAATATCTGCAATGTTTGTTTTTTTCCTGAATACTATCATTGTTTATATTTACTGCGGGAAGAAACGGTAAAAACTGTGTTTTATAAGGAAAACACTCTCCGCCTGTGAGCAAAAACAAAACCAAAAAACTCCCACCCTTTCCTATTGGTGGAAAAATGTACCATGTCGACCAATCAAAAAATGATATGGCAACATGGCATTTAGTTGTTTAGGAAGGGGGAAGTTTTAGGAATGACAGCAATGTTTTGAGATGTGAGAGATTTGCGACGTTTAGCGAAAATCTTGTGTAGTTAGTGTGTAGTGTAGTCAATAATTCTGTTGTGTGTGACAGAACAATGAGGCAACTACTGAATGTTACAGGTGGTACATGAGTGATACATCTCCTGTTGTCAGGCCTGCAGGCTGTTGTTCTCCTTTATCTTATAGTGGACAGAAATACATTTTTGGAGTGGCACAAATAATTTGTGTGGCATCAAATTTGATGCAGAACAGCTGATTGTTCTGTAAATAGTTTGAAATGTTTATTTAAAAAAACGCTTTGGCTGCATTTTTAGGTAAACAGCTGAAAAAAAACGTTGTTGTTTGCAAAACTCAGTTACTTTTTTTGAAGGAGTAACTATATAATTAATTGCCCAACAGTGGTCATTATATACTGTATTTTGCAGACAGTGTTAGGTGAGGCTGTGTGCAGGCAGGAATAGGACCCAAGGTGCAGACTCCGGAGACAGAACTTAAACAAAAACAGCTTTAATGCTGAACGCAAACATGACATAACTGGAAAAAACCTCAAAATAAACTTACACCGGTGGACAGGCAAAACACACAGCAAAGTAAACGGTACGAGTTATATATATAATATATATATATATATATATATATATATATAATAAACATACAGTGGGGCAAAAAAGTATTTAGTCAGCCACCGATTGTGCAAGTTCCCCCACTTAAAATGATGACAGAGGTCAGTAATTTGCACCAGAGGTACACTTCAACTGTGAGAGACAGAATGTGAAAAAAAAATCCATGAATTCACATGGTAGGATTTGTAAAGAATTTATTCGTAAATTAGGGTGGAAAATAAGTATTTGGTCACCTCAAACAAGGAAAATCTCTGGCTCTCACAGACCTGTAACGTCTTCTGTAAGAAGCTTTTCTGTCCCCCACTCGTTACCTGTATGAATGGCACCTGTTTGAACTCATCATCTGTATAAAAGACACCTGTCCACAGCCTCAAACAGTCAGACTCCAAACTCCGCCATGGCCAAGACCAAAGAGCTTTCGAAGGACACCAGGAAAAGTATTGTAGACCTGCACCAGACTGGGAAGAGTGAATCTACAATAGGCAAGCAGCTTGGTGTGAAAAAATCAACTGTGGGAGCAATCATCAGAAAATGGAAGACATACAAGACCACTGATAATCTCCCTCGATCTGGGGCTCCACGCAAGATCTCATCCCGTGGGGTCAAAATGATCATGAGAACGGTGAGCAAAGATCCCAGAACCACACGGGGGGACCTGGTGAATGACCTGCAGAGAGCTGGGACCAAAGTAACAAAGGTCACCATCAGTAACACACTACAACGGCAGGGAATCAAATCCCGCAGTGCCAGACGTGTTCCGCTGCTGAAGCCAGTGCATGTCCAGGCCCGTCTGAAGTTTGCCAGAGAGCACATGGATGATACAGCAGAGGATTGGGAGAATGTCATGTGGTCAGATGAAACCAAAGTAGAACTTTTTGGTATAAACTCAACTCGTCGTGTTTGGAGGAAGAAGAATACTGAGTTGCATCCCAAGAACACCATACCTACTGTGAAGCATGGGGGTGGAAACATCATGCTATGGGGCTGTTTTTCTGCCAAGGGGACAGGACGACTGATCCGTGTTAAGGACAGAATGAATGGGGCCATGTATCGTGAGATTTTGAGCCAAAACCTCCTTCCATCAGTGAGAACTTTGAAGATGAAACGAGGCTGGGTCTTCCAACATGACAATGATCCAAAACACACCGCCCGGGCAACAAAGGAGTGGCTCCGTAAGAAGCATTTGAAAGTCCTGGAGTGGCCTAGCCAGTCTCCAGACCTCAACCCCATAGAAAATCTGTGGCGGGAGTTGAAAGTCCGTGTTGCTCGGCGACAGCCCCAAAACATCACTGCTCTCGAGAAGATCTGCATGGAGGAATGGGCCAAAATACCAGCTACTGTGTGTGCAAACCTGGTAAAGACCTATAGTAAACGTTTGACCTCTGTTATTGCCAACAAAGGTTATGTTACAAAGTATTGAGTTGTATTTTTGTTATTGACCAAATACTTATTTTCCACCCTGATTTACGAATAAATTCTTTACAAATCCTACCATGTGGATTCATGGATTTTTTTTTTCACATTCTGTCTCTCACAGTTGAAGTGTACCTCTGGTGCAAATTACTGACCTCTGTCATCATTTTAGTGGGGGAACTTGCACAATCGGTGGCTGACTAAATAC